ATAGCCAAGGTCAAGGATAGACACAGACATTCTCATAGCCAACCTCAAGACGGATAAAAGGATTCCAACATTTGAAGAGCAAAATGAGGAGTGCCCAATCTGTCTACAAACATTTAAAGGAAGATAAGATATACTACCATGTCATCATATCGGGTATCGCCAAGGATGCGAATGGCAGTAAGACGGTTTCGCAGCCCTTTGTCGATGAACTTTATCAGCTTCGACGGTGGTGAAGCATTAGCTCCATGCCTCCTGTCATTCATTTCCCTCCACAGCGCATGGATTGTCATCTGAAGTAAGTAATGGACAATGAAACACTTCAAACACTTTAGGTGGTTTTGAGATATCAGCTCAACAACAGAGAACCAATCGGAAGCGAAATCTTGTAGCAGAACTCCTTCTCCCACATTTCTCCACACTTGTGAGGAGTAAGAGCACGCAAAGAACAGATGATTGCGAGTTTCTAGAGGCTCCTGATTGCAGAGCACACAGACGACGAGAATATTCGGACTCCAGGCTTGCATTCGGTCGCCTGTGGTGAGGCGATTTCCCCTGCATCTTCAACAACCTCGTCCTCAAAACCTTATCCAGAGACATCGGTGGATAGCCACAGCTCCCCTACTTCTTCTTCTGCTTGAAACAAGCCTCTGTTACACTATACTACCGCATACTGCTTTGCAGTCCAAAGAAAATGTCACAGTGACAGTTCATTTTCGTCCACTCAGGTGAATGGTGATTTTCTGTATAGGATTTTAACGCTGAGTTGATGTTCGTTCTATGAAGTTGACATTGGTTTATGCTTGACATAGCCCACGGGAAATCTGCCAAGGGGAGGAGATTGCATGGTATGCAGATGGGGATTCAATTGTGCGGAATGAGCATAATCAATCAATTGCTTATGCCTATGGTTAGTCTTAACAGTCTGACTAGTGTCACAAGTTTCCGTGAGCATCGTAAATGTTGTACTTAGAGCATTGCAACACTCATAAATACCAAATGAAGTATAAAAGTGTTGTGGCATATATTGAAGTTTCGTGCATCATGCATTAAGGCCTGAATTAAACTAGATGTCAAATTTCTGTCTTGAAGGTCTGTCCTTTTTTGCAGATCGTGTTTTTGGGCCTACAACGACAACACGCCATGTCTATGATGTTGCTGCTCAGCATGTCTTTAATGGTGGTATGAAGGGGACCAATGGTATGGGAGTAAACACTTTTTTTTGGGTTGGCAGAACTAGTTAGCAACATAAAACTTGGTCGTTACGTAGGGACACCATTTGAGTCGTTCGGTAGCATCTTATGAAAATGTTATTAATTCGTCGCAAATTAGGAAAATTTTTAATAAGCGACAACAGAGTGATGCCATTAGATATGACGCTAACTAGCCATATATTAAAGACGAGAAATGTTAAGTTTTCTGGGTTTCCAATTTAAAACCAATTGGCGATAAGTGGAGAGGCCCAAATCCCTTATATACTAGTGTTAGTCCCTTTAAATTTCCGATGTGGGATTCTAACACGCCCTCTCGAGATGATGGCTCTTATCAGCCCATCTCGAACCGAATTCCACTTTAGAACCGATGATAAACCCTTTTTAGGCCATCCTTCTTGGATCAACAAACGAGGCTCTAATACCATGTTAAAAAAGCCATGCGATTACTCACATTTATCGGTTTGTTGCAAATATGACGTTAATTGCAATTACCAACGGATTATTGACGTTTGTTGGGGGGGGGGGTCGTTACTGATCTCTTTTCTTTGTAGTGAAGCAACAAAAGTGTTTAGGGTGAACGGAAAACCTTAAAAGCCAAACCCAGATTGTTGTAGTCAAAAACCATTACGTAATAGCTAGTTCATAGCTTATAATTGAAGTTGTAATTGCTATAAAACATTTTATCTCGGATTTGGTATCTAGTTTGTTGTCGCAGACACTGCAACTTCTTCTTTCCTTCAGAGCGCAATATGATGAAATTTTACCTTTGCCGTTTTTAAATTTTACTTTTAGTTTGGTAGCTTATTACAGTGTGTTTTTTTAGGGAGAGTAGGGAATTTCCAATTTTTTTAAATCTGAGATCTTTATTTTATTATTAAAAGGAAGCATACAAAACCGGCAAAATATATCATCATTCCCAGAGATAAAAGCGGCAGAAATCAATATTTCTCCATTTTTCAAGAGTCAAAATCCTGCAGAAAACAAAATTTCTCCGGAGACATAAGCCCTATGAAAGAGAGACACATATAAAAAAACTAAAAATAAACAACCAAGTAAGTCTATGACTCTATGAAACTAAGTCCATCCATGAAAATACGATGTAATAACCTAACGAAACTCCTTGTTGAAAATATGATCTGTCAGATTGAAACTCATTTTTCGATCCCAATATAAAGCTCCAAAAAAGATCGAGAGATAACTAAAAAAGCACTAAACCTAATTACCCAGAAAATTAAAACCCTAACAATAGAATTAAATCTATCAATCAATACTATTATTTGCGAAGTCAAAAATCTGATGTGTCGTCTCCACAGCGATTGTACAACGTGTCATTATTATAAAATATTATGTGGCGTTTTAATATGTTCTGATAGGTCGATCATTAATCTTACGTGGAAATACCCATGACATGTCTTTTTCCTTCGATAATAGGCCAACGATTTTGTTTATGGGCCACTAATCTCGAAGTCGGTTATAAGCCACCGATATCAAAGTCGGTACTAATCTATACTCTAGTGTATCTATCGTGCTATATATACTCCTCTCAGTTTTCATGTTTTCTTACATACAATGTCCGTCTTCTAAAATCTAGCATCCTTTTAAAAAATTCATCTACGTCTTTTAAAAAAATAGATATATACTATTATTTATTCATTTCCGTAATGACAACTTACTATTTTTTTATAGTTCATACTTTGCTAATTGAATATTTCCTCTACTGCCTTACAATAGAATCGTCAGGTAAAGAAAAAATTATGTTTTTATTTCAGTTTGTGCTTAAAATGTTTTTTCTGCTTCAAGACGGTAAATCAATTGCCTAATAATTCTTTCCTTCAAAAATTTTATGAATTTTCTATAGTGACTAGCAATCTTCTCCTCCATGATCCTCAGATTTTTTCATATCATCTGCCTCCATCTCAAATCATTTTTACAGAAGATGAACATTTTTTCTGCCGATTTTAACAGTGATAAATTTACAAGTTAGTTAAAATGTAATTAGTACTATCCTGAAGCCATATATTCCGAATTTCCGACCCATTGGGTTTGGTATCGTAAAAACATCAATGGCATCTCCGTCTTTGCGGCAACTCCAGACTGAGTATTATAGCCAACTATAACCCTAACGCTGGCGAAGTCTACTACTTGAGGGTTTCATTGCATGTCGTTCGTGATCCATGTTTTTATATAGATATAAGAACAATTAATGGTGTTGTCCACCCTACTTTCAAAGATGCATGTTATACTTTGGGTTTAATTCACGATGATACCGAGTATGCCGAAGCTATCTATGAGGCAAGTTAATGGGTTCTCACTCCTCTCTTTGAATGATGTAAACTGCTTTGTTACGTGCATGTTCTATGATGAATCATTTTCATGTTTGGAGATCCATTCAATGTTTTTAGTATAAGTTTCGTCAATTATTTGCATTGTCCTTGATTTTTTTCCCTTAATTATCTTATTTTAACAACTTCTTAGATTTTTCGTTGTGTTTGGATTTATTTATTTTTTCTAATGTACTTTCTAAATTTAATTATCATCAATAAAAATAAAAGGTTAAACAGATTTCTAATTAATTTTTGCTAATTATATATTGTTCTTATTTTTACCCATTCATATATTTATTGTTAAAAAAGATGTACAAATACTTTTCCTAATAAATCATATATATTGCTCTTACTTTTATTCACTTATAATTCTTATTACTTAGAAGTATAAGTATAAAAAAGAAGATGTAGTTGATGATAATAACTCAAAAAAGACGAATTTGAATAAATCCATGGAGAATAAAAAGCAGATGAGAACACGAAATAGTGAAGAAGAATAAGGAGATGAAAAAAGATGTTGGAGTTAAAGAAGAAAATGGGAAGAAAAAAATGAAAGATGAAGAAAAAAATTAAAAGAAAAAAAATGAGAAAATAAAGTAGGTGAAGATGAGAAAGAGATCAAGAAAAACCAGAAGAAGAAGAGTTTGATGAAGACCAAAGAGGAATAAGAAGTAGAGAATAAAAAAGGCTACTAAAAATCAAAAAAGAAGAAGAACTGAGAATACATAGATGGTGAAAAAAAACTCAATGACAATGATGAATATGAAAGAAAAGAGTGAGGAATAAGAAAATCGAAAGATATATAAGAAGAAGAAGAAAAAAGAGTACAAGTCAAAGACAATGAAGAAGATGAAGGAAAAGCAAAAAAAGTACAAGTCAAATATGATGAAGGAAAATATGGGGGAAAAATAAGATGAATAATTTGGGGTAGAAAAAAAAGGCAAAAACCTTCAAATTGGAAACTGAAGAAGAAGACGAAAAAAAAAAGAATAAGAAAAATACGGAGAAGAACTAAACCAAAAAAATAAAGAACGGAAAGAAGAGTAGAACAAAACAATAGAGCACTAGTAAAGAAAATGTGTACAGCCACACAAATTTTCATTGCTAAAGCCTAATTTTCGTGGCTATATGATGATATAGACACGGAAAGTCACGAAAAAAATCGTGTCTATAAGATCGTGACTAAAATTTTTCATGGCTTTTTGTGACTAATTAATCACGATTTAGACACATAGATTTCGTGGCAAAACTAGTCACAAATTAGTCACATAATAATTGGTGGCTATATAGCCACTGTTTAGTTCGTGGGTTTTCCGTAGCTAAAATAGCCACGAATTGCTATGGAATTTTCATCAATATAGATGTCGCTTTTTATCTTCGTGTCAAGCTCTTTAGGTACAGAATACCACAAATTTATGATTTAATTCCAAAAACAAGAAAACCTGAAAACTTGAATTTAAAATTCTAAAATCCAATATCATATATTACCAAATGTTTTACAAAGATCCAATCATATATTACCAAAAGAATTATAAAGTCTAATGACTTACAAAAGCTGAACATTTTAATCCCAAAAACATTAGCACACCACTTATCTAACTGGGTAGTACCCAGCACTATCGTAGTCGGGTTAGTAGTCGTGGTAGGGTCTTAATCCAAAGAGAATTGTTCATTGTGAACCATCTCCTTAAACTCATTCTTCAACTCCACCAAGTTCCCTTTGAGAGTTGTCACGCCAACCTTGAGATCTTCAAAGAAAAAAAAAATTTAGTATTTGTAAGTTAGTAAACAACATTCATTGTGTTGAGTAAAAGAAATAGTTAACTTAGAGAAAACAAACACTTAAGTCTGCCACCACACATCTTTCCTCTCTCAAGGAACATATTTCCAGCTGCTCCATGGTATATTGTAGTAGCCTTGCCAAGTTGTTCGGATGAATTTGTGGAAAAATATGTCTATACAATTGTCAGAACAAAGAAGTATTAAAGACCTGAAGCTGAAGTCTGCAAGCCTTCTCTGTTGCATCTATCGAACATAACAAATCAAAGATGTTATTACACAGCCATAATTAATTATAAAATCACCCTTGGTTTAATAAAAGCATTCATCATAAAGCAAGAGAATAACAGACAATATGAAAGAAATTAAGTGAAGAAGCTTCAGCTAAAGACATGCCAAATCTCCAAACCACTATTAAGCAGGCCTTCTCTGTTTCATCTCTTGAAACATAACAAACAAAGAAAATCTTACACAGCAAGAATTAATGATAAGAAATCACATACCTTGGTTTAGTAGAAGCATTCATCATAAAGCAAGAGAGAAAACCTGACAATCTAAAAGAAATTAAGTAGAGAAGCTTTAGCATAAAGACATGGCAAATCGTGAAACCAGTATTAAGCAAGAGAATTTGAAAATATATCTTCTTATGCCTAAGTGGCCTTAAGTAAAGAACAAATCTAACCAACAACACATAAGTCATTCTGATGCAAATTTACAAACACAAAACGTCTGTATTATACAAAGTTACAAATACGAACACAAAAAGTCTTTAATGCACAGCCAAAATAATGTTAATTGAAAAAAAAAATGCTAACACCAAACAGCACAAAAGAAAAAGTTGTAACTAAGTATCCTTATTCTACTTCATGGTTTTCGACACTTATAATAAGGAAACAAAAGCTTTGATAAACAGTGGCTTCACAATCTTATCTTACTAGTTCCAATCAAACGAATTTTGCAAACCAAAACTAGATAGGCATTTTTTTTGAACGAAGAAAACCAAAACCAAAACTAGAGAAACATTTTATCATACTAGTAGGCAACTTATATGTCAAGAACACAAGAACACCCACGATGGAAGAGAAAATCAAAACCCAACTCGAAACCCCCAATTCCAAACGCTAGATGATACCCAAACACCAAATCCAACAAATTTTTTACAGATTAAGCAGATTAAGCATGTAAGAGAAACAATCAAACACAAATTTCACTAAACAATTTCAAACCCTAAGAATTTATACACAAATTTCACAAAATGAAACTGAAGAAAACTTATGGAGAAAGAGGAGGAGCAGACTTACCCGGCGGAATCGATTCGGAGGGATGTGCGCGGAGTGGATCGGAGGGATGTGTGCGACGACGGTCAGAGTTTTGGCCGAATGAAACCATGGCGAGGAGGAAGAGATTTGAGAGTAGAGTTTTCTTTCTAAGGCCTTGATTGTTTGTAGTTTTTGAAACAGATTTTGGCTTTTGATTTTCAAAAATCCATTTGATTAACCAGTCAAGTTTTTGAACAAATGGATTTCCTAGAAAACTAGTTTTTTAGAGTTTTATATTTTCTAAACAAAAACCAAAAACTACAATTTATGAGTTTTTGAAAGAAGTTTCCGTAAGTGTTTGTTGTTTTATTTATTTTATTTATTGCTATTTTCCCAATCAATAATGATTGAATAAAAAAATACAAAAACAAACAAAAAAATCTCATTTCTAGTTTTCTACAATAAAATATATAAATCAAAACAAAATCTCATTTCTACAATAATTTATATGTGCATTTTTATCTATCATATTTTATTGTAGAAAAAATCTATAATTTTATAATTATTTATTCTTACTTATAAATTTTTGTGAGTTATTGTTTTTTATAAGAAATATGATTTTGAAACTTTAATTTTATTCATTAAACTTTAGTAATTTTTAAACACTTTAAACTAAACTAAAAACTAAAAGCATATAAATATTTTTTAAAAATAATAATTATTGATAAGAAAACCAGAAACTAAACAAATTCTACCATTCAAGGTTTTAAGAAACCAAAATCTACAGCAAAATCAAAAACCAAAATTTTAGAATCCAAAATCCAAAAATCAAAAACCAAATTCAAAAAGCCAGAAACAAAAAAAAACTAAAAACCATGCAAACAGTCATGGCCTAAGTGTTATGTCGTCATCGTGTCGAGAGGTTTTTTTGTCGAGTGTTATATGAGAGTTAAGTGTCTTGAATTGAGAAAATTTGGTCACGGTTTAGCCTTGAATTGTTTTTGTAGCTGTATACTCAGAGATATATTGTTGCAACATTGTGATAATTGTGGTCATGAAAGTATACATCACTTATTTGTGGCTATTTTAACCACGAATATCCACGAAAAATTCACGTTTCTATTATTTTCTTACTTCATAGCTTTTTTGTAAATTTTTCGTGGCTAAATTAAAAAAAGCCACGGATAATCCATGACTGTTTCGTGACTATACGAAAAATTTCTACTAGTGGAGGAAGAAGAAGAAGAAGAAGACAAATCAGAAGAGAAAAATGAAATAGAATTGGTAGACTATGAAGAAGAGGAAAGAAAATATAAGAAATAAGAAAATTGACGTGATGATAAAGAAGAATGAAAAGACGAAGAAGAAGACCAAAAGAAAAAAGAAAAGAAAAATCAGAATAAAAAAAGTTATGATAAAACAAAAAAATTTGAGGAATAAGAAGGAGAAGTGGGTGATGAATTTGGAGAAAGAGGGAGATAAAGAGAAATTGAGTTAAAGTTTTCAGGGACATGTAGATGCTTCAGGACATGTCTATGGAGAGAGTGTAAAGGAGAGAAATAGAGGGAAACATAGAGAGAGAGAGAGAGAGAGAGAGAGAGAGGGAGAGAAAAAGAAAGAGAGAGATAAAGAGAGATAGAGAGAGAGAGGAAAAAGACAGAAAGACAGAGAAAGAGAGAGAAATGGTAGAGAGAGTTAAACTTTCTTGGTACATGATATTAAATCTATGTTAGTTCATATTTTATGTGTTTCTATTTTTTATTTTCGAGATACTTCTTACTTTAAATTTAGTTATCTAATTCGTATGATATATACAATTTAGGACTACGGAGAGAGAGAAAGAGAGGGAGGGAGGGACGCATAGATGGGGAGAGAGAGAGACTTATAGTTTTCAAGTACATATATTTGATTGATATAAAAGATTAAAGAAAATAAGAAGAATATGAAGTTAGAGAGAATGAAGAAGACGAAAGCGATGAAGAAGAAGAAGAAGTATAATAGAAAGAAGATGGGGAAAACAGCAAACAAGAAGAAGATGTGACAAAAAAAACTTAATGAATAAGAAGTAAGAAAAGATATATAGAATAAAGAGGAGAAGGAAACAGAAAATGAAAGAAAACTAAGAAAAAAACGTGAGAGAAGATGGAGAGATAAAGATGGAAGACTATGAAGAAATATAAAGAAAAAATAATAAAGAATAAAAACTCAAAGATAAATAAATAAAAAAAGGTGAAAAATAATTATGTGAAGACGAAGAACTCGCTTTTGTCTTAATTCAATTGGTTTGTGAGTTCAATACAGTTATTCGTAAACATTTTTGTCTTTAATGTTGGATGGTATTTATTTTTTGTGTTTGCTTTATTTATCATGTATATTTTAAAAAGTTGTTTTTAATTTTTTTCATTGGTTTATAACATTGAAACTTTTATGTGTGCGGGCCGAACACCTAGTTATTAGTTATAAATATGTAAATTCAGAAAGCAAAATCAGAACACGTTTCTTTTATTAAATCACAAAACCCTAGTTGAGAGAGAAAGGTCACAAAGCTGGAGAAGATTCATGATTGTTTGAAACTCAATCATCTATTCAACCCAAAGAAGCTCTCTATAGATAATTATGAATCAAGTATCTGTGCTTTCGCCTCTCTCCAGTGCTTGAATTTAAGGTTAAGAGCAAGTGCAACGGGGGTATTTAACCACCGTCTCTACCATTTTTCCCAAATTAAATAAATGAAAAACACAAAAAAAGCTGAAAGACGTTTCTTAATTTAGAGATGTGAGAAACATCTTTTGAGCTGCACATGTCCAAATTTCATTGGATAAAAGAGAAGAAAGTGAAAAAGTTTGTTTTGGGTCCTCATTCTTTTTGTTTTTTACCTGACAAAATTCAGGTTTCTCCAATTGAACTTTTAAAAAATTCAGGTTTCTCCTATTAACTCTCTAATACTAAAACAACACATTTTAATAATAAAAAAAAGGTAAAGACCCATCAGGATCTCTGTCATTGCACATGCTCTAACTCTGGTAGATGTTTTCCAAAGTTAGGGCACAGAAGCACCACCATTCACCATCCATGATTACGTCACTTCCAGATGACTTTATTGTTGATATCGTAGCACGTGTACCAAGATGCTATTATCCAACAATCTCCCTCGTTTCCAAGAGTTTTCGGTCACTCGTAGCGTCGCCTGAACTATAGGCAAGACGTCCTTGTTAGGCTGCACTGAACACTGTCTCTATGTTGTCCTCTATAACTACTACCCAGTGATTGCTGTTTGTATATTCTCCGTTGGAAAGTCAACAGCAAGGATCGCTTGGCCATAATCCGGTCACTTCCTATTATACCTTGCAATGGAAGCTATGTCGCAGTGGGATCAAACATATATGTGGTGGGTTCATCAAGAGCTTTAAACATCAATTGTAGATTTCATACAGTGCAACCCATCTCTCACATTCCTAAGAAGATGTTTGATAAGGCCATTGGCATCATCAACGGGAAGATTTACGTAATTGGAGATTGTTGGGGTGATGACAAAGTTAGTGGGAATATGTTGTGGAAGAGAGTCATGGTGTTTGATACAGAAATTCAAATGTGGGAGCAAAGCCAGACATGGAGGTAGGTAACATGTTGTATGATGGTGTGGTGATGGAGGATAAGATTTGCATGAGAGATAGAGATAATAGCTTTGTTTATGAGCCAACAGAAAGTAAATGAGAATTGGAGAAGACGTTAAATTCTGAAGATTGGAAGGGTGCATGTGTTGTTAACAGTGTATTGTACTTTTACGATGTTCACAAGAACAAGTTGAGAGCGTATGATCCAAAGCAGAGGTGTTGGATTGATGTGACAGGTTTGGAAGAATTGTTGCCTAAGACGGCCTGCACGGACACAGTTAGTTATGGTGGGAAATTGGCTCTTTTCTTTCGTAACAATGGTGACGCACAGAAGATTTGGTGTGCAGAGATTGCTTTGGAAAGATGCCAAGGAGGAGAGATTTTGGGTAAGGTGCAGTGGTGTGATGTTGTAACTGATGATGGGAATTTTCACATGGTAAAATGTTTAACTGTTACGGTTTGAAACTCTCCTTCATACAATTTTTTTTTTCACCTAGTTCCTTAGATCTTATTTTATGGTTTGAAGTTTCTTGAATTCGTTAATCTGAAATAAAACTATTTAGTTATAATCAAACTAGTATTAGTATTTTCACCAAATTTTGATATTATTACTGGAGATCACATGACCAAGATGTAAGGTTGTTTCTCAAATCAAGAGCCCGAACTCGTTACACTGACTATATCCTTTAAGCGTAGGAAAGAGCCCTTTTCTACCCAAAACCTACGATAATTGTTTATAGGAAATCGGCCGTCGAAAATTTTAAATGGTAGGAAAATTGTAGGAAATTTCCTACGAAAAATACCGTAGGAAATTTCCTACGCAAAATTAGGTATAAATTTTGTCGGTAAATCTTGACGAAATTCCTACCAGTTTGCTTCGACTATTTTTCCTACAATACTTAACCTACCTTTATATGACGGATAATTACTTCCATTTTCCGACAAAACTAACCTACTAAAAGTCTATGAATATCTTCCTGCCATTTTCCTACGAGATTTTCCTACCACCTTTTAATAAAACCTACGAATTTACAAACAGATTACCTACAAAACCATATGAATGAAATTATGTGAAATCACAAATGAGATGAAATTGGAGAAATTAAAATCATAATAAAAGTTCAAATCACATAACCACAATGTTTAACAAGATAACATAATGAAACTTTTTAACTAGAGAACCCAATCACACACCAAAAACCAACCCTTAAAATTCATCACCACAATGTCATCCCAAAAAAAACCTAAGCATTATAACACAAACACTAACCACCACATCTTCAGCCTTGTCTTCCTGCAAACTCCTACTCCTGCGTCTCATCATCTTCAGAATTGTCTTCCTCTGACTTGTCTTCATCGGCATCCTCATCTTGGGCGACCTCATCCTCTGCCTCGGCATCCTTATCATCTGCCTCGGCGTCCTCAGCATCTGCCTCGGCCTCTTCATCATCTGCGTCCTCCTCCTTTGCCGGAGCTGATGGAGGAACCAGATCAGGAAACTTGCTAAGAAGGAGCTTGTTGCATTCCATTAGATACTTAATGTGTGCATCTTTCTCAGCTTCAGATTTCTTCATAGTCTTTATAACCTCTTCTAATGAATCTTGTGTCTGATTCTGAGTAGCCTTTGTGGAAGAAATGCCTTTGCCATCAGCCATAGTACCAATCCCAAACCGCCGACCTCTGACCTTGGAAATTTGCTGGAAATGAAAAAAAGGATTGTGAGGAAATGGTGTTAGATAAATCGTAAAACAAACAATGTAAAAACAGAGACATCACCAAAACAAATGTAAAAACCAAGTCATCAAAATCTGTTTCCTTACACTACACGAAACAGACATGGAAACTATTATTCAAAGGAGACATGAAATGTGACCTTAAATGAGGCATGATATGAACAAGCAGACTTTGTCAAGTAACCAAATTAGCCATGATCATGTCCAAATGAAAAAAAAATATCAACTACAATCAGTGCTACCAATATGACACATGAGCTGAGACATGAAATGAGACATATGAATTCACTATTACTAAAATGAGACTATAATGACAACATTTTAACTAAGTTCTAAGGTATATAATGATAACATATACCTCAAGTACGACTGCATTTATCTCGGCTTGAGTAAGGATTTGTGAGCCTTCTCCTTGAGTTTGTCTCTGAGTAGCAATCTCCTCCAGCCTCGCCTTAGACTCATTCACGATCTGTCTAGCTTTGTTATCAGGTATGGTCTTTGTCTTCTTACAGGTGTGGACATCCTCAATGAATGTCAGCATGTCCGGCTCTTCTCCATTTCCTTCCACCGTCTGCAATTAAAAAAAAAACAATGAAAAGAGTCAAACATAGAAATGCAACAAACCGAGAATGAAAAGAATGAAACTAGACTGATTTACCAGCTCATCTCATCGCCTTTCCAATGTTTTAGCTCCATTGTTGTGAATGGCCTGGCCTAGTCCATTTCTTGGACTTTTACGATTCTTGGAGTTCTTGGCAGAGGTTTTTTTCACATGTGATGAGGCCCACATCTTCAGGTAACCTCCAAAGAGAGACATCCGAGACTTCATCCAATCTGGTGCATTGTTTGGACCTTTCTTCTTCAGAGTCTTCTTCCACTCATGCAAGTTGGACCGAAATGATGCATCAGCCTGAAGGTCATAAGCTGATCTCACTGTTTCGGTGATGGATGGATCCCAATTAAACTCTTGCTGTAAAATGTAAACCAAGTTGTTATATCAAAAGTAACTGAACCAGCTAATAAAAGTAATAAGGAATGTAGAGAACTCCCTGCAAATGCTCTGAACCATTGGTTTTTCACAGCAATTGGGAGGCTACAGTAAGTGGGATATGATCTTGGGAGATAGGACTTCATCATCTTCAAAATCTGTTTAGTGATCTTCCCTGTGTTGTCATGTCTAAACCTATAACATATTAGAGATTAGTTAGTAAGCAAACAATTAATGTATATCTAACATTTACGATGACAATGGAAGTGTAAGCTTACCAAGTGGCTCCTCCGATACGATCAGGATGCAAGTATAGCAAATTCTGGCACCTAGGAGCAAGCAACAGGTCGTCGACGGAGCACAAGGTCTCGGTACGGGTTTCAGCTGCTTCGGGAATCCTGGGTGAGTTTGATTCTTCGGTGTCTCTTTCAGGAGTTGACCGGTTGACCTGAGGAAGACTCTGAGACGGAACGAATCCGTCTAAGGTGCTGGAGTTGAGCTATCTCGGAGATGTCCCTCCTGAGTCATGAACTGCTCGAAATCTTCCCGGGTCCGTTCCTATATACAAATGTAAACACCAACTATTGTATTAAATCAAAAGAAATCAAAAGAGATTGAGCTTAGAACTTGAAATAGAAATTTTGTGTTATACACATTTCATTTTGACAACTCATATGCTTGTTCTAACCGAGAATCTCAAACATGCAAGCAGAGAAATGAGAGTTTTACCGTGAAATTGGGAATGGTGGAGAGTTGGTAAAGCCCGTTATATCTGTTGTGTCTCCGGTGGTAACCAAAGGCGGATTCTGGCGGGTTTTAGAGGGCTTCCGAGGTATCCGGTTACCGGCCATGGTGTATTGTTAACAAAACAGAGGCAAAGATTGCTGTTTTGAACGGAGAGAAAGGTGAAAGAGGAAGAACACGAGGTCGGCTGTTTAGGAGATAATGAAACACTTAAGAGATTATGGATGATATAAAATTAGATTTACGGTTTAGGGTAGGTATTTGGTAGGAAATTGGAAGATATAATTAAAAATTAGTCAGTTTATTTATTAATTTGTTCAGTCTATTCTAATTGGAAGGAAATTGGTACAAATTGGGTTGGTATAATTACAATTACTTTGGTTTAGTGATATAGGAAGGGAATTCATAGGGAATTAGTCGGGGAAGTGAATTGGTAGGAAATTGGACGGAATTTGGTATGTGATTTGCTTAAATTGTATAATATATAGTTGGTTATATATAGTATGTAATTAACAAAAATGTGATGGATTGATTAAATAATTGCAAATAAATAGTTTAATGGAATTTGATGTCTTTTGAACTTGATTTAAAAAATAATAATTGAAAGACACATACAACAATTCCCTTTACTACTCACTCTCCGATGAATAGTCTGTCGATGACGAATCACATTCTTCATCTTCAAACTCTCCTATGTCTTCCTCTGAAACTTCTAAAATATTGTCAATTATTTCATCCCCCAATTTGGCCAAAGGCGTTTCTCCGATAGATTGATCAACACAACCTATTTCGGCAAGATGAGTTTGTTGTAAAGGATTGTGATCTGTCACTCCATGTACTCTTCCCCTTGGATATATTTGTGTAACGGTAAAAAATTGATAACGAACATAAAAAAAATGAGGGAAACTCTTCTCCAATGGTACATAATTTTGAGGGAAAAAATGAGTTTGTGAACAGTACCTCAAATTTGAGGGAACATTATTCATCCCCTCATTTCACTTTTTAGCTTTGTTTATTTGCAAAATGATCCTTATAGTTTTATATGTATCTCATCTATATCTAAACAAAGTTTTAAACTTTTATTTAGTATACAAATAAAATATTATTATTTTTAAAACATAATAATAAATAAATATTAATTAATTTTATAAATAAAAACGTGAAAATATAATTTTAATATATAAAACAAACATAGAATAACTTAACAAATAATAACAATTAAAATACACAATTATAATCATAAATAAACTAGGTACCTGCCCGCAGCGCACAGACGTAATTACTATACAAATTTTTTTATAATTTGATTATATCAAATTCTTTATTTAACATATTTTGTAATTTTTTACCACATTTAAGAAGTTTTTCTAATATATACGTGACATTCTCCATTCTCAATAGTTGGAACTAAAATATTATATATCCATAAATCACGAAAATTTATTGGATTATTTATTATTCTAAATTGATTCATGATATAATCCACGTATTAGCGTTTTTTTAACAATCGTCTCCATTTATAAATAGATATATATATATAACGTAATATAAGAAGTACTATATTAAATGTCTATACTGTATAACTTTAGTGGATATATATAATGTAATATATGAAGTACTATATTAAACGATAACCAAATGCAAAGGAAAATATAATAAAAGAAATATCAAATAAAATAGAAAGATTCGACATAACATAAGATAGAAAGCCTTATCATAAGAAAAAAGAAATGTAGCTTATACAATGATATTATGAGGACATAACTCCATTAAGTTTTGTTGCATGGAATTTAAAGAGATAAAAAAATTAAAACTCCATCATAATCAAACGATCTTGTTCAGGGGTCCTTTTTGTGCTTGTTCCAACTTGCGTCCGTCATGTTAAACTTGTTTCGAATCCTGAAATCTTAAGACACACATACGTATTTAAAGGTTATTGTATATATAAAATATTCTCAATATCATTGTCGGATTACTTATTTTCTCTTGAAAATCAGG